TTAGCTGTCCGTGAAGCCAGCTACGGAAGATGGAGGATGCGCTCTTACGCATGATAATGACTCGATTTTTAACCCGCGCACCGACGGGGGGGGCGGATATCCGCCCCCCCCCCCTGAGTTTTTTTTTATAAATTTAGTCCGAACCTTTTGATAGGAAGGATTCACAAGGACAGAGCCACCGCTAAGCGAAGCTTGTTGCGGTGACCGTGCCCTCTACCCTCCGATCGCGCAATTCCAGTTCTATGGCATAATTTAGAGTCCAAAGTTTAACGTGCGCACATAGCCGCGCACGGCCGGTCCCCTCACTGACTTCGCCTGGCTACGGCCTGCCACCAACCGCAACCATACCTGTCAGGAGGCCCATAAATGTCGAGCGCCCGTCGCGCCTCGAACCCGGACTGTTATAACCGGGAACGCGTGCTCTCACCACGCTGAGTCCAACGCTCTAACCAACTGAGCTACGGGACCGGCAAAGGTTTTTCGCAGATAGCGGGAAAACCGCGAATTTGGTACGACTATTCTCTCATCAATTTTACACATGGTGTGCAAGTTTGAACCTCCTAACTTTTAAGGTCAGGTCACCAGGTCACTTTGAATGACCCAACCTCAAGTCACTTTTTTGCAACTTTGTCACCGTGCCAGAGCTACAGTAGATGTCGGAGGCCTTTGAAAGTCGCAGGATGTTATAAGGTCATTAGTAGCTACAATTTGTGTATCTCGGAATTTCGATGTCGGTGACCTAAGGTCAGGTCAATTTCGCGACCTCCCCATTATAAGTCAATGGGGGAAAAATCAACTCCCTGTTTTTACCACTAAAACGGGTCGGAATGGCCCCATATGCCATACATGACTTCATATACGATCAACCTTCACTACCTTGAGGTCTGTTTTGCTGTTGGGCAGCTGTAAGGTCATGTGACGTCATCAAAGGTCACCAGCGGTTTTTTGCCAATAACTCCGTACAGGAACAAGATACAGCCGCGCGGATGGTCTCATTGTGTTCAGCTCGTCAAGACGCATCGAATGATATACATGATGACCTTGAGGTCACGTGACCTGAGGTCAACCTTTGACCTTAACCTTTCGAGGTCAACATATATATCAATCGATGCGGATTGACGAGAGGATCACGATGATGCCCTTAGTTTGTTCCTATCTTGACTAATTCGAAAGTTATTCTAGAAAAAACTCTCTCCATATCTAGCGCCGCCATTTTGACTTTTTCGACCCCTGTGACGTCATCTTTGACCTGACCTGAAAATGACCTTAGTAAAAATTGTAGACCTTGTCCGTGCGTATCTGATGCCGTTTACCGCTTGTCGCTATCTTGCTTCGTTCTCGAGATATCAGGGGGGGGGGGGCGGTTATCCCCCCGTCGGGCGGTCATCCCCCCGTCGGTGCGAAGTTGGCGCAGACCCCCGTCGGTGCGCGGGTTAAGTAGTCGTGATTGCCAAAATTCGACTCTGGAAGGCAAATGGGGCAAATGCCAGGGGGTGTCACTACTTTGCTTCGCCATGGGTCCAGTACTGCAGTCATTGGTTTCGATTCCGGTGACGTCAGTGCTGTCTATGTAGGTACATCCGGGAACTTATTGCACTTGTTTCTCATTAGAGGTGGCCACAGGCCATATTGTTTTGTCCCGTGACGACACATTTGCGTCATCGGGTTCGAAACTGGCTGTAAACAAACCGCTCAGTGTCGCTACTCCATTTATATATGGCCTTGGGCAAATGTGTTTAGGGCACATAGCAGGAGCATGTCCTTCACTGCAACTCGCTCCTACAATGCTATATATCGTAAATGCTGATGTGATAAGATCAACTAGGTAGGGATAATGTACCGGGTCACGGGTGCAATACTGCATTGGTCCCTCTGGTTTTAGACACGCTTGGATATGCATGCATTTTTGTCTATAGCGCACCTAATTGTTAAAATTGCCACAAATTTACTCCTCACATTGGCGTAGCAATAAGCAACTATTAGATCTTTGGCCCTATTTTAACCGGTCTGCCAGTAATATTTCTATCGCCATCACTTGTCACTCAGCCGAGCATGGAAAGAAGTGTTATCAGAAGCGTAGGCATGTACCCAATGCTGTCAAAGTTAATCCTTCCAAAAAAGATGATCATCTCCAGACCGTTAAATTTCATCAGACATCCGGTGATCCGGTCGCCATCCGGCCTGCCTCTCCGCGCCGTCCCTCGAGTGTGTACGCACGTGCACTGGAAAGTTCGCCCTGGTCCCATGTCACGTGACTGGTGCGGCCGGGGTGTCCGCTGACGAACTCCAGACGCACCGGTGACCCTCGGGGGGGGGGGGGCGTACTGCGACCACCTCTGTCACCTATATAGGCTGGCGACGGCCTAAACAAAGTTTCAGTCCGAACCGGGCGGCAGTGTGACGGTGGTTTCCCGGCGCCGATCTGTTTGTTATCTGCTCCAAAGTGCCCCAGCCGTGCCGACTTGGAATAGCTGAGAACGCCGCTCATCGGTGGGGGAATAAAAGTAAGTTTTGAAGTTTGAGTCCGGTAAAAGCAAGTTTCTGCACTTGGGAAGTAATGTTGAAATATGATGACAGAACATATACCTATAGTGCTAACGTCGATATCACAATCACTTTCTTGGAGCATAGTTTTCACCATGTTTCGATGCTCATTTCTCTCCATGCCATAAACGTAATGTTGAAATCGAAAGGGTATGACTCATATTACGGGCGGATTTGTAGTTCAGGCCTGACTCTGTGGCTTAGTGCGGGTCCCTGCTTAGTTGAGTGTGAGCTCCGATGAGCTTAAGACGGAGATCAACCATTAAAATATATTATTTAACTAATAATGAGCTGCACGTTTGGGCTCTGTGCTGACAGGGGTGTCTGTTCGTTTGTGTTACTGCGGCGATTCCCGTGAACGATGCAAGAACTATTCATTTATTCATTATTTTTTCTGCATGGGATCCGTTTGTTTGGCATTTGATCATGTGAGCTGGCACTGATCGTTCGAAATAAGCTTATGATGCAGCTTAGTGATATCAGAGATCTCGGTACCTAAAAATATTACAATAGTGAAGTGTTTCCTTGAAGTTCTTTTGAAATACATCAGCTGTAACACGCATAAATAGCTGTTTAAATTGGTAGCTGCTGAAGCAAATGTATACTGCACCTTTTTTTAAGAAAACAGCTGATTCACACGTGTTGATGGAGCACCCGATACCAGGTCCACCATTTGTGTTATTTGTTTGTGCAGATATGTGAGAAATAATGCTTAGATAAAGCATACCTGCTCATTCTCATACCAAGGGACAGATGCAAAAAATTCAGAAGCTAATCAATTTTTCGGCCAGAGTTGTAACAGGGGTTAAAAAACACGAGCACATCACATCATCTCTAAATTCCCTTGATTGGCCGAGGATCGCGGCCCTGGTTGCGCGCCGGGACGTCACCAAGGTGTGGAGGCTGCTGCGGACGGACGGCGCACCCTCCAATGTGCGAGAGCTCCTGGTGCCCCGGAGCGTGGTGTCGACCCGGGAGACGCGCGGCTCCGATGGCGGCGACCTGCATGTGCAGCGCTGCAGACTGTCATCGAGCCAGAGAGCCTTCTCATACCGCGGGGCGGTAACCTGGAATGGACTTCCACAGTCTGTCCGTGGCATGCCCACCCTCCGCGCCTTCAAGGCGGCGGTCAGAAAATGTGACAACACTTAGTGCTCCACTCATTTTACTCACTCGCTCATAGGCCTCATCTTCTTTTATCTGGTGTTTTAACGTGTTTATAGTGTTTGCCTACTGCTTAATTTACTTTACTTTTAAAATGTAATGGCCTGGTGTTTTAGGTATGTGTTTTAATCCTGTGTTTTAGTAATGTATCATCGGACGTGAGATCAGAATAGCCACTGCGTGGATGGTCTCTACAATAAACTCATACTCATACTCATTCTGGGCAAACACTTTGACATGGAACGAGTCCCTCTCCTGACACACTTTCTGGTAGGTGGGTATCATATGCGCCTTGTTTTGTCCATTTCTGAGAGGCGGTGGATCTGACCCTGGCCATCCGCGGCCAATCTGAGCCGAGCTGCGCCGAGGCACAGGTGTCGACTACTGTTTAGTGCGGCAGCTGTGGCCGGCGGGGGTGGGGGTGAGGGGTGGGGGGGTCAGGGGTCGCTGAGTGACAGGCAGCTGTATCAGCCCGTCGTCGGACCCGTCAACACTGACCTTAGCACGCCCCTCGCCGGAGGAGGAGAGCTGCGCGAGTGAGTGCTGCCGCGGTGAGCTGAGCTGAGCTGAGAGGGCAGGGCTGGGACAGCTCACAGCGCTGGGAGGGCAGGGTTGGGACAGCTTATAGCGCTGGGAGGGCCGCGATGGGACAGCTTATAGCGCTGGGAGGGCCGGGCTGGGACAGCTTATAGCGATGGGAGGGCCGGGCTGGGACAGCTTATAGCGATGGGAGGGCCGCGATGGGACAGCTCACAGTGCTGGGGCCGGGCTGGGGCAGCTATCAGCGGACTTGGGGGATTGAACTGTGACACTTCACAGAGCGTTGTCTTCTCCCTTGCCAGAAAATGCAACCATGATTTTAATGGAACTAATTGCAGGGCCTGAGCAAAATGTTTTATTTCGAATATGGTGCACTTTGGTCCTTTGAATTTGAATATGAGCGGTTCTCTCAGCCTTCTTGCCGAGTGGGACTTTGTGCTCCCAACAGCACAAATGGCTATCTTGCATTTTGGCTATTTGATTTTTCATTTAGGACAGACATTGGGTAATGGGTATAACTCCTGTCCCATTTTCCTTTCGTTATTTTAGGGGAAGTTTCGGCCACGGGAATGCTTCTTAGTGATGACGACACACGCAATTTCTGCACGACTAAACAATCTGAAAATCGGCAGCACAGCTGCTCGTTGCTTCCACAATGCTTCCGGCACAGAGGAGCCCTGCCACCTCCCGGCAGCCTGCAGGTTGTCAGCGCGTCTCCTCAGCCAAAGCTAACAGTGTGTCTCCTGTTACAGGTGTGACATACCAACTCGGTTGACACGCACCAGCCAACACAATGAGGCTACTTGGCGATAAGAAGAAAAAGCAGTACGAGGCGAACCTGCGCCAGGGAGCTGTGGAGAGCGGCCTGAACCAGCAGGGACAGAAGCAGAAGAAAAAGGCCGAGAATGGCTTCAAGCCGATCGATCCGACTCCCACCAGCCCGCCAGGTAAGTCCCAATCATCGGAAAATGGAGTGTTTCGTAGATCAGCGAATGATAGGTAGTTGTGAGTTTCTGTGTGTCGCGTATCTGGCGCCGATGATAATTTCTTATTGAATGGAGGAGTGAGCAGGACACGCCATGTTTCAAACTTCACGCTGTAAACCACGTTTGAAAGCTTATTTGTCGGCAAGAAGGCAAAACATCAGCTGATATTTTTCGGACACGTCCAAGTCCTTCTTTAGAATGCAAGCGAATACCCGTTCCATAAGAGACAAACGGCAGCGATCAAGACAAGCTTTGTCAGCTTGCATTTTAGTTCGAAACTCGGGCAGCCTAATTCATTCGAGGAACTTACGACTTTTTGTGAAATCCGATTATACCGACTACCGAGAGTCCTTTGGATCTTGCATCGCACCTTTTGTTTTTAGAATGATGGATGCATTCTGTGAGCAGTGATCTTGCAAGCTCTTTTCTATGGGCGCAGCATAACCCTCGCCCGTATTGGTGTTTTTCCAGCCGCGAACGTATAAGGGGGGGGGGGGGTCCGTTGGACCCCCTTGCCGTTTCGCCCCTGATTGAGCTACAGCTTTGCGGAAAAAAACGAGCGTATTGCCCGTGACGAGAGGGAGCCGATGATACCCAATTTTAAGGTCCTAGGTCATTGGTTGACCTTGCAGGTCAGGTCAATGACCCAAAAGTCGGGAAAATCGGGACCTGTTAGAACGTCGTAAAGTGTGGCTGCTATGGGATTTTTCGGGGTGCTGATCACGAATATCATGTTAGTTTTGATCACAGATGATGTCTTCATGCATTTAGTCCAGGTCGGGTCAGGTCAGGTCAGGTCAACCAGTAGGGGTCCTACCGGGTATTCCTAGTAGGTGTCAATCGCCTCTGACAGCTTCGTAACATGTTACGAAGGCACCAAAACTACTTCGTAAATATTCATATGGTTGCTAAATTCGAATTCAGCTAAACAAAACTGGTCTAGAAACATGTAAAACTCGAAAAAGTGAACCGAGGTCAGGTCAATGACCTGCCCTGACCTTCAGGTGACCTTGATACCCACCCTAATGCATGGGGGCAACACCATATCATATGTTTGAACGCTTGAAACCACGAAAAGACTGCAAACGCGCCGCTAATGCGAGCCGACATACGCCGAATCGCGATTCTGGCCAAACATGGTCTCGAAAAGTAGGTCACAGGTCAAAGGCCATTTGGGTCAGGGTCATGAAATTTTCAGGGTAGGTGTAAAATTGAATAACGCGAGGGTACTGAAAGTTTCGTCACAATCGGCCGCTTTTTACGCGAGTTATTCGCGAAAAACCATGGGGGGGGGGTCCGTCCGACCTCCCCCCTATACGGGCGAGGGATAATCTGGTTATCAATGCGCTTATAAGCTGCAAAAATAAAAATAAACAAATAAAACAAACAGCAATCGAGCAAACAAACAAACAAACACAAATTCGCAAAGACATTTATTCCCTTCGAGGTCTTCTGAGCTTCAAATTTTTTACTTGCAAAAATTATAAAATGGGTAAGAACATAAAGCTCCGAAAAATTATTATTTCATAGCATTAGCTCTTCTCGATATGGTATTGATTTCTGCTTATTGTCATGCAAGTGAACTCTCGCTTTTAAAGCGGTCAATGTTTCTTTGTCGTAGGTAAAGGGTAACCTCTTGCTCCTGCAATGATTCCAGCGCTGTTACTTTTACTGTTAGCACCACCCCTGCGCGATTTAATGGTTGACAGGGTAATATTTTTATGGTTGAAATCTAATTAGTCGATCAGAGGAAGGGCTGCGACTTGCAACTGCGATTTGATGTTCACACGTAATCTAAAAACAGACAGGTCTCCAGAGCATTGTGTTACCATTCTCTGGCATGGACCTGTTTCATCGATTGGGCAAATAAGGGATGTCTTGTCTCATTCTTAACTTCACTCCATTGAGTCCATTCCACGTAAAAGTCTCGGGGATCATCTTTCCATAACAAAAATAATATTTCTTTTGACCTTGCACTCAACAATTACCAACTCAAGACGAATGTTTTTGAAGCGCTCAGACCTTATCACAGTTTTTGTCAAACTGTGGCAACTTATCGAATTACTTTTGACCGACAGCAATATGTCGTACGTAACGAGACGAATAACCCAGGTCGTTGCCATACTCTGATCAAATTCTTGGCAAATCTCTCGCCGCTGACTTCTGCATGGTCGGCTCCTTTGGCGAATGACGATATCATTTGAGATTCTGGCTGCCGTCCTCTGCTCCGGCGATCGATCCTCCGCACTCTGCCGGCGCCGCTCCGCGCTCTGCCGTCGGTGACGTCGGCGACCCGACACAGTCGCCGCCGGCGGCCACTGGCGGTCCCAGGGGGGGGGGGCCACGGGGGCCATGGCCCCCCCTTTGGTGCTGAAAGGTGGGGCCATACTATCTTTTGGCCCCACCTTTCAGATCGAACAAAAGTACTAGAAAAGCTTTTCGCATGTTTCATTTTCTTTCTTGCGCCATCAAAGGACGTAAATTTCACTCATGAGTGGGCTCAGTTTCGTATTCTGTCAATTTGGCGGTCAGCGTCGCTGGCACCGGTTCACGAGTATGGCCGGATCTTATATGGAATATCAGCGTGGGTTTACTTGAGGCTCTCGTAGGCCCAGCAATGGCTGGCATGAGACCCTCTTCGGCAGTGGTGGGTGGGCCCTGCTAAAGGAGATTGGCTCTAAGACACTAAAGTAAGACCTCATGGGTTGGTGCTGTGCACCTCAGAAGCCCGGTGGTGACGCCGTATGCCGGCTTGGTTTCTTAAGGATTAGCGTGGGAACTCCGGGGCCTGCATAGAGTTTGCATGAGCTAGTATGTAATCTCAGAGGCATGTGTGTAATGTGTACACAGTGGCGGTCGCGGGGGGGGGGGGCATCAGGGCCATGCCCCCCAAAGGTCAATAAAGGGGGCCATCATATCATTTGCCCCCCCCCTCAAACAACCAATGGGCCCCCATATAGGTGTATGGGGCCCTGGCAATTATTCGATCGTCACGAGGCTCAAAAACCCACGCCCAGCTATTAATATAGCTCCCACACCGGTCTTTGAACGTCCTACACTGACCTCTGAGGGAAGTTCAGTGCCTGTCAAGCGCCCACGTTGACCGCTAAGAGCCTACATCAACCTCTGAGACCCCACATCTGGCCTATGAGGGCCCCTAACCGGCCTCAGGAGTCCCAACCGGCGTCTGAGGGTCTCACACCGGTCTCTGGTGGCTTTATTTCTGTCTGTGGTGTCCCAAGACGAACCTTTAGGTGCCAATGAGGGCCCCGCACGGCGCACTGGCTGCTGAAGACCCGATGCCGGCCTCTAAGGGCCTGCATTGGCCTGTGAGGAGGGCCCATCTTGGCCTTTGAGGGCCCTCTGCTGGCCTCTGGGGTCCAACGACGGCTCATGCCGGTCTTTTAGGGCCCCACGCTGACCTCTGAGGGCCCATGTTGGCCTGTAATGACCCACATTAGCCTCTGAGAGCCCAACTCGGTCACTGATTGTCTCAAACTACTGGCCTTTGTAGTTTGCAGGCCCTGTACTGGTCTCTGAGGGCCCTAAACTGGCCTCTACGTGAAAACATACATGGGTGGGTTTCTGAAGATCAGAGGGCTCACGCAGTCTCCGGCACAGCCTTACGTTGGTCCTGATCGAGATTACTTTACGTCCTGATGGTCCCGCGCAGATTCCCTCATATTTCGACGTCGGGACCCCATGAGCCGGTGTGGGTCCTGGGGCTGGCAGAGACTGATGAAGTCCTTAGGGCTCAGGGCCAGTCTTTTTAGCAGTAAGACTAGGCAAGTTGAGTGAGCCCCAATAGAGCCGTTTCGAAGCCCCGCAGGAGTCGCGCGCGGCCCTCAGATGCCAATTTTGAAAGCTCGGAACCTGTGGGGGGTCTCCAGAGGTCGGTGTACCTACTCTCTCCCGCCGCCACACAACTAGGTATGTTACCTATATGGGTAAATGTCATAGTCTGAAAATGCTCTCTGGGTTTCACATGCTTGTTCAAAGCAAGAGGTATCTGTACTTTTCCGAATTGTTTTATAGTGGTAAGGTCATGAATCCGCGTGCCTGACCTTCCAGTATACCTATGCTACACCGATCCGTCGTCATGGTGCAGTGGGCCGACCGGTGGAAGCACCGTGGGACGGGAAATGGAACTGGTGATTTTGCCCTAAATTGAGCTTAAAGATTTCACGCAAGAATCAGATGGATGAAGCATAAGTAATGCCAACTGCGCGGCACCTCGTGGACGTAAAAATTAGCCGATCACCCCCCCCCCCTCCCGGTGACGGATAAATGTTATGTCCCGCGAGTGTGACATTGGCCCCCCCTTTTACTAGCGGCTGCGACCGCCAGTGCCGGCGGCCCGTCGACGTGACCGGCCGAGCGACAGCAGGGGTCGCATGCCGACGCGACAAGGTGCGACGACCACCCCGAGACGGGCTCCGGACGGGATATAAGGATTGCGGCGGCGAGATAAGATGATGGGAGGTGTGGCTGATGAAAAGAGAAGGAGAATGGGTAGGCTACCCCGCGCCGTGCTGGTGGTATGAGCTTTCCATGTCCTGCCCCACGCGGTGAGCGACAGGCATTCGAAAGATCGTCAAAATTAATGAAAAAACATCTGCCATTTTTAGGTCAGGTCAAAGGTCAGGTCACCAGAGGTCATTAAAGGTCAAATTTTGCCTAGTTAAATATTTCTGACAAACCGGCGCATACCACAGGAACCAGTAGAGCTATAGCGCCGCGGAAAAGCGCCTTCGATAGCTGTTATAATGCTCTTTCTCTGACAGACCTTTGATTTTATCTAAGGTCAACGGCTTAGCCTCTAAAAGGTATAAATTGTAAAAATGCCTTTTTTACAAAAATGTTTTAAAGGTAGTGTGCCACCTTTGAAAGATTTCCCATTTTATTTTTCCTAGGATAAGAAGCTTCTGTTTTTACCTAATATCGCAAAAAAAATCAAAAAT